TAAAGTAACTTTACTAGTAGAAAACGCCGCAGCAGTTGCTTCACATTCTCTTGTACCTTTCTACATTGCAACTTCTTTCTTTTTAAATAAGATAACCGAGGAAAACCAAAAAGATGAAATTACACCTACACCTGATTTTAAAATACTATTTTCATAAATCAGGTATCTAGTTTCATAATACAAAAATCAGGTTTTAATTAAAGATTTAAAAAAAATTATTTTTTATTTTTATATCTACCTACACTATCCAAACCTTAAACTAATCCATATCCTTTCCTCTCTCTCACCTTCTCTCTTCTCCACTCTACTCCCTCTCCGCTGGCAACCCAGTCTCCACGAGACGGCATAGCCTCATCCGGCGGCTTTGTGTAGATCCAGTGGTTTTGGTGCAGATCCATTCTTCTTCTTCTTTTTTTTTAAATTTTTTATTGATGCGATGGGGGTGTGTCGTGCGGTGTTGGTGGAGGTGTGAGCGTCGCTGCTTCGACACGAAGTATGAACGGGTATGTGTGCGTACGGTGTTGTGGGTATGTGTGCGCGCAGTGCTATGGGTACGATCGCGGTGCTATGGGTAAATGAATTGCTAAAGGGTGTGTGTAGGGGTGGGTGTGGGTTGGGTCGATTTTTGTTTCAACCCAAACCCAACCCAACCTATGTACATATTGAAACCCAACCCAGCCCAACCCAATTATATGTCAGTCGGGTTGGGTTGGATTGGTTGGTTTTGGATAAAAATAAAATCATTTCATCTTTTCTTGATGATACAGGATATGGATTTCACTCCGATCAGTTAATCTTGAAATTGAAATTTCCATGTCACTCCCTAAACAAGTTTTGCAAAAATATACGTAATGACCCCAATGAATCACAGTTTGCTGGAAGCAAGAAGTTAGAAGAATTATTATTTATTATCCATTAACAGTTTAACACAATGCTACAAGAAAAATTATTCATTCATTTAAGACAGTTCCATGCACAAAATTGATGAGCTATTATATTAAATTCAAATAGACAAGATTAAATAGTAAGTAAATAAATAAATAAAATTATCAATTATCTTATTCAATCCTTATTAACCGAGCCTACAAAGAATAAAGTGCACCAAAGTAATTACGATTAGACTATCCACTCGTATTTTTTAGGTTCATTTTCAATGAAGACCCATCTCAAATATTTCTTACTGCTATATCTTTTCGAGGAATACATGTTGATGTGCGTATAATACATGAAAGATTAGGAGTAGAAAATAAGCCCAAGTACTAAGGTCATGTGTTTCGTTGCTATTTATGCACTTCGACTGTTCATATAGTTTCATTTTCTTCAGAGCATCACTTGCATCAGAAAAAGTGGTAATTACATAAAACCAGACATTTTCTTTTACATTTTAAAAAATCAGGTTTTCATGTTTTTTTTTTCATTTATCAGGTTTTTTATCTTTTCAAAAAAAGGTTCTTTTTTTATCATTTTAATTAAATAATTATTCCTTTAAAACCCTAA